ATTTTTTTGAAAAACCTACAATGTTCCCAAACGTCATCACTGAAAAATAGGGAAAATACTTCAAAAGGTGTTTTTCCACTTACATGTTCTTCAATATTCTGTGTCATTGCAGTTTCGTCATTTGTAGGAAAATGTGTATAACTTGGATGTTCTTTTTTCCAATCTGGAACACATTTAGGTGACTTTTTCGGCAGTCTTGGCTTTTTAGATGTTGAAGGACCGGGCTCACCTTGCGTATTTTCAGGCTCTGCGGATAAATCGATGTGGATTTCATACGTTCCAACGATATCAGTAGGCACAGTATTATCATATTAACCTAGCGCGTCATCATCTAGATCTTCCTCGTCTGTAAGATTGTCAACCATCGAGGGGATGTACACGGCATCGATTTAATTGGCATCTTCTAAATCCTCGTCCTCTTCTAATATACTCGTAATTTCTTGAGAAGATAATACTCGTTGCTAGGCCATAATGTTTCAACTTTTTATTTACTGGTTTGAATACACTCTCTTATTGTTTTTTGACGTCACTTTTTTTTGCCGGTCAAAATAAAAAATACAATACTATTTTCTTCTAAGAGTTTCTATGAGACACGGTCAGCTTGATGTTCTATAACCAACTAACTAATAAAACAAAAATGCTTGTTCTCTTTGAACACTGACAAGCCATTGTTTACAATAAATTTCGAACTTCAATGGTAAGCTGTGTAACAATAAAAACTGACTATTATTTCTCCCAACGTTGCGCATACGCAACATTTCCTGGAAGTCTAAGATAAACAATACATGTAACTAGTTTTGTCCAAAAAAAGGACATTTATAAATATAATTTATGGTTATATAAAATTAAAATTAAATATTACTTTAATAAATATAATTTATGGTTCCATGAATCTGTCGACCATAAGATGACTCATTTAGCAGTTTTTAATAAATAAAAATAAAATGTATTTATATTTAAAAACACATTTAAAAAATTTGAATCCATCTCTTGGTTCTAGTTCTTGAGACTAGCTTACATTTCATAGAATTAATTACTTATTTTTAAAACAAAAAAAAACACATTTGAAATGTTGCGCTAGCGCAACGATGGGTAAAGATGGGTTAAAGAAGTACTATTAGAACCAAGGTTCTACTTACCAGTTTATAAGTTTGTATGTAACACCGTAGAATTATTATAAATTTAGATATCTTTATGTGAGAAGCGTAATTTTAAGTTGAATTGTTGTTAAGCTGATTGATTGAAATTGTTCTTCTTTTTTAATTAATGTTGAAAAGTTGATATTCTTTTTAGGCCGTTTTTAAATTGGCATTTGTTTGAATTCGATAACGACTTAGTTTTAGTTCTTTTCTATGGATAACAAATTTTTGTGTGTTTAGTAGGAAGATTGTATAGACATGTATGTTATAACTTAATTTTTAATTAATGTTAAACTTTTGTTGAATGTCTTCAAATATTGTCTACCATGTAATTTTTTTGTATGTTCACGGCTAAAGGACTGGGTTTCAAACCAGAATAAATAAAAATAAAAAAAATATGTTATTAATGTCATTCGATAAAATTCACATTTCTTTCACCACAGTTGTTTACTCTTTGTTTATTGCAAAACTTGAAAAGTACCTACTTATTGAAAACTTGCGAATTACAACATTTCTTAGAATGTTGGCAACACTGACTCGACGATCGGGAATTCCCCTGTATTTATCTGTATTGTTATGAATGACGCTTCGTTTGTTTCGTCGCTTCGTTAGTCGTTTCTGACTGTGCTCTTTCTGTCTGTGTATACTATTAAATATGTACACTCTCTATTAAATCGTTGCGCGTTTGCCCGTTTTGTTTAAGTGATTATTTTCGGTGTATTACTAAAATTATAGCATAAAATCTCAAAACGGTCATATCCTAGTGGATCTTACAAAAGAAATAAAGCTGCACACCAGAAGGAAGTAATTGAAAAGTTGCCAAAATCAACATCTTATTTTTTACTGAAGAGAGTTCAGTAAGTAGCGATCGAGTAAATTCGTCTCAATCAGAAGTAGCATCATGTTCGAAATCAGTTCTACCAATTTTGGAAACGAGTTTCAATTAGAATACGTCCGTCCCTATAACGAAAGTGCAACCAACATCACTTCGGTGACTTTAATAATACCGCCGACTGTATCAGTTGTACAACAACTGATTTCTGACCCTGCAGACATATCACACGACCCTGCCGATTATTTTCATGAAAATTTTACAGGAAAAGATCGTGAAATTTTGATTCGTAAGGGACCTTAATATTTTCAAAATGAAGATTCTGATTTCTCTATAGCACGCAGAACCTACAAAAATAGTTCTAGATCTGTTGCTAGAAATTTCAACAAAGCATTATTTATTCGCAAATTAATGAACAATGAAGACGTCGTAAGAAAATGGTTGCTGTATTCGCCTTCAAAAAATGAGTATTTTGTTTCTCATGTTGCGTATTTAATCGTTCCGATTTAAATCTATGCTCAACAATTGGATGTAATGATTGGAAGCATATTAATCAAATAATTTTATCCCATGAAAATAGCCCAACACATAGGCAACATATGATGACATATTTTTCATGAAGTAAAACGGTTGGTAGAGTAGACACAGACTTATTATATCAATATCAAAAATAAGTGGATTACTGGAGAAATGTTCTTAAAAGAATTGTATCTGTTGTAAATTTTTTGACTTCGAGAGGGCTTCCTTTTCGCGGTGACAATGAAATCCTAGGATCTCCCAACAATGGAAATTATTTGGGATGTGTGGAGTTAGTGGGTGAAATGAAGCCATTTCTTGCTGCTCATTTAAAAAAGTTTGGGAATCCTAGAAAAAAAAACATTTCTTATTTATCAGCAAATATCTGTAATGAGTTTATTGATGTAACGGGAAAACAGGTCCTAAAAAGAATTATAAATGATGTTAAATTAGCAAAATATTTTTCCATTAGCATTGACGTTACACCCGATTTGTCACATATTAACCAGCTAACTTTTATAATTCGATACATAACAGGCCGTGATCCTGTAGAAAGATTCTGAAATTTATATTAATATTAAAGATTTCTGAAATCGTATTAAAGAGCATAAATCTGAGTATTTAGCTGAAACCATCTCGAATTTTTAGAGAGTCATTATATTCCCATTGAAGATTGTAGAGGACAAAGCTACGATAATGTTGTCAAAAGCCTTTCACAAACAAGATGGTCAGCCCGAGCTGATGCAGTGAGCACCTTGCATGAAGGTCATAAACAAATCTTAGAAGTTTTGATATTCATTGCAAAAGATTCAGAACAGGTACAAGAAAGCCTGTCAAGAAGCCCTTAGCTTGTCAAGAAAAATTAAAAAACCAGAATTTAGTATACTAACAGAAATTTGGAGCTCTGTATTAGAGAGAACAGAAAAAAAAGCAATTATCTTCAGAAAGAAACAATAGCACTGGACGTTGCAACTAATTTGCTTACTGCACTTGATGAGTATGTTATTAGCCTCAGGGATAAAGCCAAAATACGGCTTGACGCCGACAAGCAATTCATTATGATTGCAATTTATATTTTATTATTCTTTAAATTATCAACTATTAATAGATTTAAAAAAAGCACACCGTTACGAGTAATTTTTGTAAAGTTAATCAACGACTATAACATGAAAAGTACGCCATTTACAAAAAAAATTGCCAGTAAAAAGTTAAAATGCCTAATCTGTCGAAAATCGATAATCGTTATGAATTAATCAATAGTTGTGAAAGTGAATAAAAATATAATAAATACGTCATCTTATAATATTTTTCTCTTTGGTATTGCACAAAAATATTTGTCCTTATTATGTTACATAACTGTAATTAGTAAAGATATAATAATCATGGTATAACATATTATTGATTATTATTAACAATCGATGTTAATCGATTGAAAACAATTTAACATCCAATAATGGCAACATTTTTTTTAATTGTCATAGTCAATAGTAAACATTACTTTGTTGTTCAGTGCTTTCTGTTGTTTTTCGTTTTTATTCTATCTATTGACCCGGCTTTTAACTTTGGCCAGAATCTGTTTTACTTGTTGACTCGGTCTTTTAATCTTGGACTGAACCTGTTATTCTCGTCGACTCGGCTTTTCTCACGGTTTTGGAATCATGCTGCGATGTATCAACTGTGACCTTAATGTTACTCGAATTAGAAGACACTCAACAGAATATTTGTCTGTAAACATCCGAGATGAAATCCAACAACGAAATTCTCTGCCCGACCTAAGTATTTCGATGCATGTACGACTAAAATGCTGTGGGTATTTACATATCAACATAGATCACATAAAACTTTAATATTAACTCTTACATTTTACCTACAGATACCAAGCAACAGTGTGGTGTGTCATGAGTGTTGGTTATTACTAAACGAAGTGCCTATAATAAGTCGAATTGGTAATGAAAATGTATGTTAACAACAATAATGACAAAAAATCTCATGTAAGATCTGTTGGTGCAAAAAGGATTTTGCCACAACAAGTAAGTACAAACAACATTGATTTAATTATAATTAATAAGTTATAGTAATAATAATAAGTCAATTATTTGATGATTATAATTTACCATTATATTATGCTTATGCATTGTATGCAATGCAACACATACAAACAAACCGAGCATGTAATTAAGTATAGATAGTATTATAAAACTAATGGGATGGTGTCTGTACATTGAAAATATTTATATAAAATGAAACCCAAATGACAACCTCTGTGGAGGAGTGGTGTCTACACAGAAGTTAAGGTTGTGGCACCTCAAGAGGTTCTGGATTCAAACCATGGTAGGGACATGTATTTGTGTGATGAACACAAATATTTGTACCTGCATCGTGGTTGTATCATCCATATTTATATATTCTATGTGTTATTTAGTTGCCATAGTATGAGATTTCTTAGTTTGCACTAAATAATTGTTGTGAGTTGTCCCAAATATTATGTATTTGGAAACCCACTCAATGGGGTTTGATTGGGTTTTTACCTGGGTCGAAATTAAAATCTAAACCATGTCTTATCTAGAATAAATGCTATACACATTGAAAAAATGATTATGTAACAATATTTCTAATGATTTATTTCTTTTCAGCTCCGATCATCAGACAGAATTTGTCACTCTTGTTGGCAAAGGTGTAATAGTTTAACTGTAAATTATACTGCACCATCTACATCATCTGCAAGTTCTACACCAAGTGTTCCAGATAAATCTTCTCAAGAATTGCCAATTCATGCTCTGGAGCACTGTAATGATAACATTATATCAGTCTCGACTTCCGAGGAAAATACTCACAGTGTACCTACAATAATTTTGGTGGGGTATAGAACTGTAGGTTGCTGTGTTTACATTAGGTATTTAGGATGGGCTAGATATCAGTTAAATATAGAACTGCCAACACAATTTTTAGATAATTTATTAATTAAATATGAGAGCAATGATACAACTGGTAATTAAAAATATAAATCTTTACATGTGTTTCATTTGCAGATACTTTTTTATGACTTAAAAGGTTTCGTCCTTTACCTAAAATCCATAAATGTATATAAATAGGTTGTTTAAATGAAAAACTAGGTAGATTATTGTTGAAAAAATACAAAAACTTTTATGAATATAACTTTTTTTTGTGAGCTTTTATTAAAAATGTAATGTGCTTATAATTTTCTATATTTTTTGCCCTCTTTTATAATATAACACACATGTCTGTCGGTTCTGGCCGAAGTTTCTATGGAAACTTGGCATTATCCTTTGATTACTTCGAATCGGCCGCCACACAAAAAAACCTGGAATCTGAATATAAAGACCTATATCAAAGAACCAGACGTAGAAACTCAAGCCTGACTTTTTATGATGGCTCTTCGCCGAACTGAATGGAAGAGAAAGATTCAAAGTAAAAACCTTTATTCCCATTATTGATAACTTGGGTGTTCATCTAAACAGCGATTAAGTTCATATAAAAACATAATATTTTGGTTTATTTTCTCGCTTGAAAACTCTTAATTCCGAAGAGTTGAGACAAAGTTGCAAAGAATTTGTTGAAATCTATTATGAAGATGTAAATGAGAAGGAGTTAGAAATGGAATATCTGCATTTAAAAGAATATTTGAAAACTCAAAGTAAAAACGGAGATTCTAATAGTATACTGGAAATAGGGTAGTGGAACCAATAAATGAACGATTAAGCCGAATCGCTAACTTTAAATATTTGTAATTAAATTATCTTAGTAATTGAAGTTGTTCTTTTGTTCATTTTTGATGCTCGAAAACTATAAAATTATTTAAAACTTAAAAAAATTGCCTCGTGAGTCCCAGGTTTTATATAAAATAAGAATTAATAAAATATGTTGGGTTTCCCCCTATAGTTGAACACTGATCCCAAATTATGAACGTTTTATATCCAATAGTTGAACTAACATATTAATGTGATTTTAAAGAAGGCATAGAAATTGTGAACCTACTTAATTTTTGAGTGTATTTTTAATGAAAATAATAAAAAAATAAAGGAATCACTTGTTTATTTAATTAAATAATTTGGTAGTCTAAATCATCTAGTATTAATATCACCTTATTAACAAACCAGGAAAGCACTAGACGTAGAAAGGTAGTGGAACTTTTTAAAACTCTAACTTAAAACTAGTATAACATCAATTAAAAATAAAAAATTTCGTTGTAATAAAAATTATTCGCACATATTGAGATCATAATTTTCAAAAGTAATCACTCCTCTTCTTCAAACTCGAGGATATGGCAATATCTTGGTTATAGCTGACATTGATACTTCTGTCAAATCTTCGGTAGACGGTTCAACAAAATATGTCAGGTTATCAAATTTACTTGCTTTCCTTCGTAGACACTTAATCTTGACTATTTTTATCTCGTAGTCGCACATTAGCACTTGTCCAGCATAATAGTGATTTCTTTTATTTGTCTCAAATTCAACTACAATATAACTATTTAAATCGATATTTTCCTTATTTGTAGTCAGTCTTTCACGTTCATTTATAATAATTGCTTCAACATTTGTTTCTTTAGTCTTTGGTTTAGTCACAAGATTCTTCCGTCTGTTTTTTTTTCTCGTTATCTTTTCTTAATTTTTCCATCTTAATTTGCTCTCGCTGTATTTTTCGATCCAATATACCCTTTTCTTTTTATGTCTTTTCCATTTCCTTCCGTTCTAAGTATTCTTTAAACTTTTTAGAAGTTATAGCTCCTTAGCTATAACTTCTAAAAAGTTTAAACCCTTGTCCTGGAGACTTAGAACGCTTAACTTTGTAGTTTTTTACTTTCTGGAAGTCTCAACAATTTATCAATTTTAACATCTATCTGTGTAGAACATCCTGGTTCAGGTTCGTAACTTTTCATGGTACCGGTATGCGAGTTTTTTTCATTAATAACATGAGTATTATTTGATATTTTTTTATTGTTTTGTACGTCACATCGATGAGTTAAAACTAATCTTGCTCTATGTTTTTGGTTTTTCTCGTGGTGTGCGGTCATATCACTATCAGTGTACCATGGCAATGGAATCGCTTGTTTTGGTGTCAACAAGAGGCGTCGAATTTGTTTGAGGTGCAGTCCAAGAAAAAGAAATCTCAGCGTTCAACAAATCATTAATATTTTTAGTTTCTGCTTGGGTAACTTGAAGTTCAATAAAATTTGGTTGATCTGTATCCGTTTTATTTGGTATCAACTTATTCATTTCGGCCAAAACTTCATCGATTACTAATTCTTCAATTAACTCTTTGTAACGTTCATCTTCAATAAAAGCAGTGTTTATAGCGTTTGTTAAATTTCTTAATGAAGCCAAAGTCCTATAAAATCGCTCTTTCATAAGCGCGATGCGTGATTCGGCAGCCATTTTTGAACAATAGCGACGTAGCGGGCATATGCACTGACAGTTTACAAGGCACTGCGGGGCGGGCGGCACTGCGCGCGCGCGATGCGATCGCCGGCGGCGCCGGATCCAATACCCCTCTCCCCTCTATCCCCGCGTGAACACCCCTCGTCCCGCTATCCCCGCCTACCTACCAATATCTTACATATTTTACATTTCCGATTGTTATTTAGGAAATGTATAGATTTCCTAGGAAATGTGTAATGTGTAAGTAAAAATAATTTATTTCACACATTTCCGTGCGGTTTTAGGAATTACATACATTTCCGTTAACATATACATAAATAATTGTTATTTTTACTGACCTCACGAATATGTTTAATATCAAATATTTGACATGAGATTATATTTGTATAACTCAACTTCATATTTTTAAATGACACACGATTTTTTGAATGAAAGTGTTTTATTTTTATTATAAAACTATTTCTTACTGTAACGATACATATTTTTGCCGATACGATACCGATACCGATTTTAAACGAAAATAATCGGCGATACCGATACAGATACCGATATTGATGGCTTAAAGTACTTTATGTATATTAAACAAATTTGAAGGAAGTTAATAAGATATTGACACTAGGTCCTGAAGACTGAAGGAAAAATACTTAGATAATAAAAAATCAGTTATTAGAATGGAAAAAAAAAACGTTTATTAGTTTCAAATAAAATCAATCACATAGTTATTAATTAACCCTAGACACCTAACCTTTCGGCCTGCCAAAAACAGATAATGATATTAGTGTGGCGTACTCTTCAATTCGACGAAAGTTAGGTGTCTAGGGTTAAAAAAGATACATAAAGTCAGTAATTAAAGTTTACTTTTGGTAGATTTTTGTTAAGAAAACAAAGTTTATTTAAATTATCAGCAGATAATCTGTTACGCAAATCATTTTGTATCAGGCCTGCAGTTGAGAAGAGACGTTCTGAAGCAACTGAGCTCATTGGGTAAGACAAATATTTTTGTGCAAGCTTTTTTAATTTTGGATATTTATCTTCTTGGCGCCAATAGATCTTTGGATCTTGTTTGATTGGAATGTTTGGAAATCTTAAATAAGATTCTACTTCCTCTTGCTCAGGCTGAATAGACATGTTTGATAAAGGCTCGTCGTCTTCGGCTTCTTTTATCAAACTATCACAAGCAGACCAGACACCCGAGAAAATCTCATTTTGATTTTGTCGCGGCGCCTCTGTAGAATGAGGACTCTCTCTGTTTGTATTATTTGTAATTAATGAAATCAGCATTCTTCTCGCATTCATTCTTGTAGATTGCAGAGTGAACGTACGCAATTTATAGCGCGGATCTAGTGCTGTTGCTAAAATAAATGTTTCATCGTTCTCTAAATAATCAAATCTATCATTGATCCCAGCTATCAAATTCAGTGTAAAAGCATTATATTCAGGGCTATAAGCATTATCATCATCCATAGCCGTGGTGTTCTTGATACGATCTAAGACTTTTCGCAAACTGTTGATCAGCGGTATGGCGTCAGACAAACAAGCAGACTCTTGGCTAATGGACTTTGTTGCTTCTTCAAAATAAGTCAACGCTGAGACAACCTGTTCCATTAGTACCCACTCTTCTGTAGCCAATTCAGTTCTACATTTCACATGGGGTAAAGATGCTTGAACCGCAACTCGCTGCTCAAGAAGTCTCCTAAGCGCTTGAAGGGTAGAATCCCAGCGAGTGACGACATCCTGGATGAGCACATGACAAGGAACATTATGAGATTTTTGCATTTCAGTAAGGATTTTACGACCCGAAGTAGAATGACTGAAGTGACCAATTATAGACCTCGCCTTTGTAATCATTTCATTTATTTTCTCTTCTCCCGAAAACGCATCCTTCAGCACTAATTGTAAAGAGTGTGCCATACATCTGATACGTTCCACACCCAATTGTGTTACAGCAAGCCCCATATTCGGTGCATTATCTGCTACTACAGCTCGTACCTGTTCGTCAATAGCCCAATCTTGAAATAACTGACGTAAGTTTTCAGCTATGTTTTCACCGCTATGTCTTTCGCCTTCAAAAGGAAATACTGCTAGGCAGTAGTTCTTTAGCTCAAAATTGTTATTCACTCCATGAGCAGTCAGACTTATAAAGTCGTTCACGGATGAAGAAGCGTCGCTAGTCCATAAGTCAGTCGTTACAATTATGTGCGGAAGTTCTTGCAAAAGTTCTTTTATTTTCGTTTTCATACGACAGTAAATGTCTGGTATCACATTTTCAGAGATATGTGGACGGGAAACCATTTTGTATTTCGGGCACAACTGCTTAATGGTGCGTTGAAACCCCTGTTTATTTACTATATCGAACGGCTCCATATCTACACATATTTGTTCAGCTATCGTTTGCGTGATCGCTTTTGCTCTGGGGTCATCAGTATCGTACATAACATTTTTGTCTAGAATGTGTTCCAAAGTAGCTTGTTTTTTGAGTGGCGGACCGGCCTCAGTCGTCGAGGTAGATGGGGTGTCGTTTTTCAACTCCTTTTCATGATAACGCTTCACGTGTGTCCACATGTTAGATGTCGTAAAGCCCTTCGATGAAACTGCCTTACTACCACGAGAAACGCTGACATTGCAGTATAAACAAGTTGCTTTTGTATCATCATCCTGTTTTATTTGAAAATGATTCCAGATGGAACTTGTACGTTTTAATGGCGTTGCCATTTTCTATTATATAAATTAAAACACCGTAACAGTCCTCACTAGTCAGTGTCAATAATTAAACAGAATGAATTACAAAATAAAAGCGGCGACGTAACGTAAATTGAAACACGACATTTCTCAACCAAAGCTTAGCAAGCACTGGGGCCGGGCCGGGGGACATTGTGTTGGCCGGCCCAAGCGACCGGTAAGACGACGCGACGCTAAGAGCGGCAACGTCGCACGCGTCGTTCGTTTCGCGCGCTTTTCGAACTGGTTGATATCGGCCGTGTTGTATCGGCGTTGCCGATATATCGGCCTGCCGATTATATCGGCCGATATATCGGTATCGGTATCGGTACAACCAGTCTGTCAACTACACTTACTCTAAATAATTTCTGTACACTATACAGGAAGCAATTAAAACCACTCTCCAAATTTGAGTATGTTAATCTTTACGACAAATAATGAAATACCGGTTTTTTCTTTTTATGTCGTTTCGAACAAAAATGTTGAGTTATATCGTCACCAAGTTATTTTCAAAAAACCTACATTTGTGGACGCTCTCGCTGCCCAGTACGTGCGCTTTACGCACTACGTTGTACTTACCCCTCCCTCCCTTGCCGCAATTCATTGATAGTAATAATAGCAGCTACCTAAAATGTTTTCGTTTTGTCATGCTTGGGGAAATGGCAAAAAAAAAAATGTTGAAACCTCTTCATACTTTTACGGGCTTAGGACCGTCAAATTGCCTAAATCCTATTAGATACCTACTATTACAATAGCTATACTGCTTTAAATTTATAAAGTAAGTAGGTAAGTAAATATCGATGTTTAGTTAAACCAATTCAAAATAGGTACTTAACTCGCTATTCTTTTGAAATCAGGCGTATTTAATCAACTTTATGTACATAATCAACTAATCAATTTACCTACCTACTTTAACTATTTACCTACGTATACTTTAATAATTGTTCAAAGTACATACCGTTCCTCTCCAAACAGAGTCTTGCACCTTTTCTGCATATTGTCTTTTAATTTTGCGAGCACTACCGTGTCATTTTTGACTTGGTAAAATGCCGCTCTGATTTGCACTTTTAAGTCCTCGAGGCTTTGTGCTTCTTCGAGGCTTTGTGGTAACACTGCACCATTTCATAATATTCGTGATTGGAATACATTACGACGCGCGAAGTGTGGGGCTGCGGCGGGTGGCGCGCAACACGGAAGCGAAAGGCGGAATTGCGTGCGTTCAAAGGGGTTGTGCGCGGGCGACTGATGTGCGCCGACAAAATAAAAAACCGAGAAGACATCGTCGTTGGCACATGCAAGTACATCCCCTGCGCCCGCGCCCTTCTACCTCTACCCCTGCTTGTTTTATTCATAACTCGTGTGACAATGCGAATGTTATAATTATCTTGTAATTGCAACAAGTTTACATTTCATTTTGAAAATTTTACATACCGTTTTTTTTCATATATGTGATCTATTAACGATACCTAATGCCTAGAAAAAATTTGGAGAATCATTTTAATTGCATCCGGTATACACACAGCAAGGTAATAACTTACCTTGCTATAGGGTAGTGTCCCATAAGTGAAAATACAGGTTTTTGTTATATTTTCGAAAAATATGATCAGTTTTAACTTCTAAATATTACGCTTTGAAAACTTGTAAAAAGGAGGAAAAATATATTACAAAATTTTGCTAAAATACATATGGCATTAAATTAGTACCACAAAACGTAACATCTGTCATTATAACTATTAACATAAACACACAAATAACAAAGATATTACAAAAATTGCCCAGACGCCCATACGTTTTTCGCTTACGTAGCACTCAGTGAAGTCACTGAGTGGAATTAATTTGTATGGAGCGTTTTCGACCGAAGTCTTCTAGTCGACCGACTAGCAATAGTTACATAAACACAGCATCATATCTCCGAAACAATTAATCGCAGACGTGCTGTTACTTCAATATTATTTCTCACATATTAATGGACTATTCATTTATGAAAAAAAAAAGTTGTATTATTATTTAAATATCATTCTATATATATTAAGAGGCAGACAGGAGCAGGTACATTTCTACTGGCAACAACTGATCACGATTATTAAAAATTATAATTCACGGTTTGTGAAAATCCCTGAAGCATCCAATAATGCATTAACGCCACATTCTATGCATTGCCAGACGGTTCGGGTCAATTCATTTTTCTGTGAGCACCACCAACATTTTCCCCTAGTGGCAGCTGCGCGCATCGGAAAGTGGTTCCCTTCAACGACAGGTCTATTTTTCATAGTCCATTT